TCTTTATTTAACTTTCCATCTTCGAGTACTGAAAATTATGTCAAAATCCTTAGGTCTCGACTTGCCTTTGAGTCTATTATCTATATAGGGTGTGTTTGAGCCACATTATTTTGGAAGAACGTATTTTAGAATAGTAGATGAAAAATGTGTGATTGGAAAAGAAGACAAAGTTATTGATGTGATGAAAAATATTATTTTATTGAACAATGTGTAGTTGAAAATAAGTAGAATAATGAGAATGAGAATTTTAATGTAGCTCAAACAGGGGCTTAGTGTTATTTGTGTTAAAGCATCTCCAAGAGAGTATTTATTTATAGAGAGCATATTTAAATTTAGAGAGTCAAAATTTTTATATATTTTTTAAGTCCTACAAGTTCCCTATTGTGGTATTTCATTTTACTTTTCTCAAGACATTTATTGATTTATTTTCATAATTTATTTAACATAATTTTTTACATGCCAATTAATTAATTAGTTTAAATATGGTTTGAATAATTTAAGAAGTATATTATTGAAATATGTGATTTATTAAATGCAACGATTGCACATTATGCACATGTAAGGTAGAGATTAAATTCAAATTTTTAATTTGATAAAAATTGATGAAATGTGTGGATGAAAAGTCGTTGATCCCGTAAAATATGCGATTAAAATTAAAAGTTATTTCCTTGTAACTTACTAGGAATTGCCGGCGCTACAATGGCAGCACTTTTATGGTTTCCTTTTTTGTTCCTTTTTTTGGCCATCTTTCACTATAAAAATGACAAGTGTCCCTTGACAATGTTTCCCATGTACATAGCATGACTCTAAAATTAATTTTTGATTTTAATTTTGATAAAAATTTAAATTTTATTCCTATCAAATAGGGGCTAAGATTAGAGAGTGGGTTTGACTCTTTAGATTTGAAGAGTTAAACTCACTCTCTATTTTAAAAAATTAAAATAGATAATTTTTGGAGCTTATTTTTAAACATTGACTTTCTAAAATAAAACACATTTTGTATTTCGAGTGTCGCTTGAAAATGCTCTTTCATTATTTGAAGTACATTGTATATAGTTTGATTTAACAAATAACTATCATTTCTTGATGGTTGCTTGCATGAAATTTGTATCACTAAAATAATACATTAAGGGTGCGTTTGATTGCAAGAGTGGAAAATGGGTGGAAAGAAAATGTTTTATAGAGAAAAAGTTTGCCTAGAAAATGTTT